TGAGACCCCTAGGGGGATGGGGACTGCCGGTCAGAGCCCAAGGCCCACCAGAGGCTGGGGTGTCCCTGCCTGCGGCCTCACAGTGGACAAGGACTGAGGCCCCACCCCGGCTGCAGCAGCCACAGGAGAGGGGCCAGCAGGGGGAGCCAGGCACCGCGATTCCGGAGGATGGAGCCTCAGGCTGAGAGACTGAACCGCCTCCCGGCCCCCAGGGGAAGCCAAGGCCTGCTCGTCTTTCTGAAACGCCTTTTTTGTTTTAAAGCTTCACCCTCGGAAACCTTTACCCTTTTGTAAATTTGCCCTGATCATCCTGGAAGAGGCAGAGGTGGGTCCTAGGCCACCTTGAGGTGGCCTCCTCCTGGGCCCCCAGCCCACCCTGCAGGGCACCCTGCTCCTCGCTGCTCTGCTCAGACCCTTTATGCCATCACCCCAGGCTGGTTGGGCTCTCTTCACCTGCAGACCCTGACCCATCCAGCCCAGCTGGTCCCGCCTTGTGCCTTTGCTCCTGCCAGACTCTGCCCGTGGGTCTCGCCCCCTGCCCCTGAATCCGAGTCCTGAGCGTTGCACACAAGGCGGCTCTGGGCCACACTGCTTGCTCCCAGCCACACATGCCACTCCTCCAGGCCTGATGTGGGTGCTGCTCCTGCAGGGTCTTCTGGGCCCCAGCTGCAGCGGTTGCCATCACCGCTTGGCTGGCAGTTCCCAGATAGCCACAGGTCATCAGACTTCAGCCTGGGAGCAAGGGTGGCCAGCCGCCACCTTCTCCCCCACAACGTGCCCGCACCACCTCAGCCACAGCTGGGCTCCGGGGACTCAGAATAAACGATCAGTGACTGATCCTGTGACTGTGTCTGATGTGGGGGTTCCGGGGGACCAGACCCCTGCTCCCTCTCCCTGCACTGGGCAGACCTCAGCCCTAGGTTCCCCAGCAGGACCCAAAGTGGACCTCATGGTCCTGGCTGCTGACTTATTCTCCCCCCCATGCAGTGAGCTCCTTGCAGCCCTAATGTGGGGGCTGGGCTCTTGGTGGCGGGGCAGCAGCTGGGTCAGCCCTGTCCCTGGAGGACCCCCAGCCCTCGAGCCAAAAACACTGGAGCATTATCTAGTTTCAACTAGGGTCCATCATGGAGCTGCTGCCCCACCCCACGCCACCCCTCGGGCCCCCTGCCATCTCAGCGCAGAGGGAAGGCTGGTGCCTAGGCCGCCAGCCAGTCTGAGGTCACACGCCATGTCCCTACAGCCGCCTGGGCTGGGCCCCTCCTGGCCCACACAGACAGGCCCTGTAGTGCCCCTGGGCTGGCCCCACCTGTAGTCATGGGGATCTCAGCTGGGATGGAGCCAGAGGCAGTTGCCCATGGGGCGTCAGCAGAGACCCCGGTCCCAGCCTCTGCTCCCTGCACGTCCGGCTCCTCGTGTGTAACAGGAGGAGGGGCAGAGGGGCCCACGGGGTGCTTCTATCGCCCCCCACCCTGTGCCACTCATGCCCCCACACCCCTCGCATGAATGGTTTTTCTCACACTGGGACAGACAGAAGATCGTCTTTCTCCAGCTTGCCTTTCACAGCACGTTGACGGAGACGGGCAAAGTCGAATTCTTTGAGCAAGTGGGGCCACTCCGTGTGCTTCCACGCCAGCCCCTTCCTAGCTGGGAGCAAGGGCAGCTGGCTTGCATCACCACTGTCTCCCCCACGCCCAGGTCCCAGGAAGCTGCCGGGTGAACCTAGGGGGCCAAGGACGGCCTACTACCCCCCGTCCCCACCCTTCTAGAGCCAGGTGGCCTGAGGCAGGGCCTTGGGGAGGACCCTAGCTGCCAGTCTGCAGGGGGGGACTCCAGGTTGGGGTGGGGCTTGGGGGAAGCAGAGGGCAGGCGTGACCAGCCACAGAGCACGAATTGGACACACTGGTCTGGCGTGGGGCCCATGGGCTGAGCCTGCAGAGCAAACGACAAGACAGACAGGAAGATGGATGGACTGGACAGACAGACGGGCAGCCACGGAGGAAGGGAAGGCAGGGTGGAAGGGCAGACGGGCAGCCCAGGGGTAGGTGCTGCCCTGGGAAACAGTCCATGTTTGTTCCCCCTCAGCCTGGTTCCTCCCTCTGAAAAGCCCCATCAGCTCCTCGAGTTCCCCAGGACCCAGAGAGCCGCCCACCGGCCACCAAGGTCCAGACTACAGGTGGGGTGCCTCCCCCCATCCCGTTGGCCCCTGGGGTGCACCCAGCCCGTCTGCCCCCCACACCCTACCTATGGGTGGGCAAGGCTTGGAGGCTGTAGGAAGAGGACAACGAAGAGGATTTCCTCAGGCAAGGAGGGCCGGGCAGGCCCTCGGGGTAGGGGGCGCTCGGCATGGACAAAGGCAGGCCCATGATGGACGAGCTCGCGGGGCCCGTGTGCTGGCGGGGCACCACCCCCAGGGGTGCTGGAAGGTCAGGAGCACACACAGCCACCCAGCCCAGCCGCGGGGTCTGGTCCCGCTCCACGCTCACCACTGTGTGGCCATAGGCAAGTGGCTCAGCCTCTCTGGGTCTGTTTTCTCGTCTGTAAGACTGGTATTTTGGCTGTGCTGCGAGCCAGGGCGGCTTCAGTGAGGCAGGCCATGTGGCTCTCTGCTGCTGTGGCCATTTGTCCAGCCTGGGCCTGGGGCTGCCCTGGGGGTCAAGCCCACAGTGGAGCTGGCCAACGTCTGGCCTCTTGAGCTCGCTGGCTTCCTTCTGTTCCCGCCCCCGCTGTCCTGTGAAGAGTGTCCTCCAGCCCAGCCTGGGCCCTGGGGTGGGTGGAGACCCCACTGCCAAGTGACACCCCCTCCCCACAGGCCCCTTAGCAACCAGAGCCCCCGCAAGCCCTCAGCCAAAACTCGCTCCCAGGCGAGTGTTTGGGGCCTGGGTGGACCTGACGGGCTGGCCTCAGGGGGCAGTGCTGGGGCTGAGGGTGACCCTCATACTGCTCTGGTGGGACCCTCGCCCAACCCTGCCCCCTGGGACCCCATCCCTCTCCAGACTCTGGGAGTCACCCAGCCTCATTGCCACTTGCCCTGCCAGGTGGAGCAGTTGGAACCTTGTCCACAGCTGAGCTGGCTCTCCTGGTAGCCAAGGGGCCTTTGAAGGTCCATCCTGGGCCAGCTGGACAAAGACTCGCTGGACAAGTTTCCGGGGCGGTGAGGCTGTCACCACAGGCTCCGGGGTGCCCTTGAGCTCTAGACCGTGTGGCTGGACTCGCGGGAGCCCGTCCAGGAGCCAGATCAGTGTCTCTGCTTGGCCGTGGTGTTGGCTCTGGGCACACGTGGTCCTGTGGTGCTGACGGCGGTTGTTCAGCAGCTGACCCCTTCCGTGGGGATTCAAGATCCCAGAAGCCTCCGGGCTCCGTCAAGCAGGGCTGTGCCTCTCCCGGGAGGTGGTGAGAGCTGGAGCCGAGGCTGGGGCGGGAGGTCAGCCTGGGGCAACCCACTCCCTGTCCCCCTTAGCTGGGGAAGAGTCTTCTGTGGGCACGCCTTCATTTCTAGCCCAGCAGGCAGGTCGGGAAGTCCTTCTTGCAGTCACACCTCTGCTCTGCCTCAGAGGCCCACTCGGCGGAGCTGCCCCCTTCCTGGGCCCCATGGTGCTTGCACGCCCTCCCCACCCCATGGCACACCCGTGTGTAGAGATGCACACCCAGCTCTGTGCTCCAGCACCCACGAGAGAGACACCACCACACACGTCACTAAACCCAGGCGCCACATCGGATCCACGTGTGCCTAATGTCCGTGCAGGGGACACACACACATCACACATACATGTAGACGTGTGTGCTCCTGGGCCCAAAGATACACGCAGACATGTGCTCACACACGCCAGCACACACGGCGAATGCAGACGTGCACCTGTACAAACACAGGCACCACCCTCAGGGTGAGGACACCACAGGGCCGGGACCCCCAGTGGGGAGGGGTGTGCGCTGGGCAGCCGCCAACTGTGAGCTCAGCCTCCTGCTCCCCTGGGGCTGGGGAGCAGGTGCCCGCTGGGCCTGGGGCCCCCAGAGGCTGACACAGCAGCGTCACCTGGCACAGCCCTGGCCCCTCCCCTCCAAGTCTGTCTGCCCGGTGTCACTGCAGGAGTGGATAGCTAGCTGGGCAGGGTGCCAGGTGAGGCATGGAGATGAGCGGGGACCTTGGCACCCCCACCCTGCACCACTCTTGCGCCCCAGTGCTCAGTTGCAGGGGCTGACAGGCTCGCTGGTGTTGGGAGCACTTGGTGCCTGGTCTACAACCCCCTTGCACACTACGGCCACCGCCGGGCCCGGGAGCAGATAGTCTTCATACTCAGGTGAGGGGCAGGGCCCGGGGCGAGGGCCACCATCAGCCGGATCCACAGGGCTCCAGCTTCGATTCTGGCCTCTATGTGGCCCTGGCCAGGTAGCTGAGCCCCTCGGAGCCTCTGTTTTGCCCCCTGCTTGGGGCAGTACCCCCCCGTCTTCCTCCCGGTCCGTGGAGAGTCCGGAGCCCCCAGGCACCCCGAGCCATCAGACTGTACAAAGCTGTGCCCAGGAGCAGGCAGCGTGGGCCTGGCTCCTGACGCCCCTCACCTCCATGGGACCCGCGTCCCCAAGCCTCACAGCTTTGGTCTCCGCCAGGGGTCTGCGGTGTGGGTCGTGCCTGGGGCCGGGTCTGAGGCCAGGAGAAGGGAAGGGCGCTGCCTGGGCCACCCAGGGGTAGGGGTGAAAACGGGGCCGCACGGGCCAGGCCGAGGAGCCAGCAGGCCTCTCCCCCAGCTGCCTGCGGGGCCTCACTGGGACTGCTACCCCCTCCCCGCTAGCTGTTGGAGATCTGTTCATTGGAGACGCCACAGCCTGCGGGGTCCCCTGAGCCCAGACCTGCGATAAGAGAGGCCCCAGGATTGGCCCGGCTCCCCCTCCAGCAGCTCCTTTTGTTCCAGAGACGCATTGTTTGTGGGGTCACGCGCCTTCCCAAAGACAGAGCGAGGGGTTGGCTGCCCTGCAGGGTGCCTGTCCTGTGTGACCCTTGATGGGGCCTCCCTCTCTGTGCCACACAGCTGAGGCGGGCCGGGGGAGGCAGTGGGGCCAGCCTTGTCACCTTCTGTGTCCTCTCCAGCTTGTCCTGGACCTGCTGCCCGTGACCCCGGCACCTTCCTGCCAGAACGACCCGTCTACACCGCGTAGGCATGGGCCCCCAAGCAGGTGAGGTGGCTCCCCCTCACAGACAGGGCATCTGGGGCCCTGGGGCGGCTCCCACAGCCAGGCTACCCCGGGCAGCAGGACCCTCCACATCAAGGCAGACATGGAGGGCGCTCCCGCTCCGGCCACCCCATCCTCCTGAGCCTGCCCCAGGCACCCCACACACAATGGGGGTCAGGGAAGGGAAGGGGGGAGGGCACAGATGAAGCACCTGGGCCCAGGGGTCCTGGTGGGGACAAGGGGAGGCCTTGGCTAGAAATGGCTGAGCCACCCAGGGCACAGGAGAAGGTGGTGGCCGAGCCCAGGGCCTCTGCTTGGGGCCTCCAGCTCAGACTAAGGACAGCACAGGGGTGGAGGGCAGAGTGAACCCGAGGTCTTGTGCTGGGGTGGTCACAGGCCCTGGGCAGACCTGCGCTGGACGCTCCCACACAGGGGTTCCCACCGGGCAGGACTCGGCCTTGTGGGGCCGGCGGCTGCTCACGGCCCATTCTGTTCCAGGTGTCCTGGTGAGCCTGGGCCTCACCCTCCTCATGTGGCTCAATGCCCACTGCTCTCGTCCCCAGGCCGAGGGCTTCTCCCAGGGAGGGTTGGATGACAGCAGGGCCGACCTATGGGCCAGGTGAGTGCAGGCCCCCCCTGCCGGCTCTGAGTCCACAGAGTTTCCTGAAGCTGACTCGCTGGCCAGGCTGGGGTGGGAAGCATCTCCAGGGTCTGTGCATGATGGCCCAGATGTGGCCTTCACAGGGCCGCCACCTCCCAGCTCAGACCTGGGGGCCTGGCCCTGCCTGCCCAGGTCACTCACACACCTTGCCCCAAGAAGGCACAAAGCAGCTGGCATCTTGCATCAGGGTCCCGCCCACGTGGCCATCGCAGCTGGCTGAGGCCGGGGTCCCCAGGAGACCCCTCACTTCTCACACTGCCCCCCTTGGCCTGGTGGGCAGCGGCTTCTCCTCCTGAGGCCTCTCAGCTTCCTTCCTTCTGCCCTGAGGCTGTGCCACCCTCTCAGGCCCCAGACTGAACTCTCTATTCTGTGTACCATCCAGGGATCTCATGAATGGGCTCAGCCATCCTCCCCTTCCTAGGGGATTGGAGGTCACTGATCGGCCGTCAATCAATTGATCAATCAGTTGACCAGTCAGGCGGGGCTGGAGGCCTGACTTGGACCAGACAGGCTCGGCTAAAGCCCCACAAGACCCCTGCCTATGCACAGATTTATTAGACTCGCACCATGAGGAAGGCTTGGCAAGGAGGCAGCCTGGCTGCGGATGACCAGCAGGTGGCCAGGCCACATATCTTCCAACCCCTCAGCCATCACTGGGATCTCTGAGCCTGCCCAAGCTCAGAGCTGGCGGGGACCAGCCTCGGGAGGAAGCACAGACCCAGAGTTTGGGCAGGGGCCAGGTTTAAGTCCTGCTCACAGCTCGGAGCCTGGGACCAGCCGGGGCTCACGGGAATGAGTGAGTGAGTGAGTGGATGAGTGAAGCAGGAGTCCTGCTTCGTCGAGGCTGCGCCAGCCACACTTGCTGTGTCCTCCTTGGTGTTGGGGAGTCTGACCTCCATCCCGCATGCTGCAGTCTAGGCTGCCCCTCCCGCCCTGCCCTCTGCCCTCTCACTGCCTGCCTCCTTTCTGCCCAGTGCCAACACTTCCCTCCTGCAAGGATTCTGGTGCCAGCCAGCCAGGCAGCTGTCCCGGGACCAGCTTTCGGCTCTGATCAGGAGGATGGCGTCACAGCAGGTCTTCCTCAGAGCCTGGCAGGTAGGCAGCCGCAGCTGGCAAGATTGGGCTGGAGAGTCGAGGGTAAGGGCGGGCTCCCAGGAGAAGGGCAGGGGAGGGCATCCCCCCAAGAGGACACAGGCCAGCAAGGGCCAGGACTGCGGGGCGGGACGTGGAGTGAGCTCTCCTGGAGCACAAGGCTGTGCTGGAAACGCTGCATGCATTGTCTCTAAGCCAACCTGCCAATTTCACAGCCGCCTAAGAGGCCTTCTCTTAGGTCGGCCCCGATGTGACTGGAAGTCTGGCCCTCTGAGGTTGGCCTTTTCCTCTCTCTGGTGATTCTCCACAGTGGCCACTTTGGACAGTCCAGGACTTCTTAGCCAACTGCCCGCAGACCCCCTGCCTCCTGTTCTTGGCTGGGGTGAGGGCTTGTCCACCTGGCCAGCGCAGGCCCCTTCCTGCCCCCTTGGGGTGGGTCCTCTGGGCCCCCGGGCTGGATCTTCAGCCTGCTGGCCTCTCCCCAACCTGGGCTACCAGAGGGGCCGGCTGAACCACCTCAACCCCCAGCCGACCCACACGTCGCCAGCCCCTGGGTTCAAAAAAAGGAAGAAAGGAAGAAAAGCTGCTGTTTTGTCTCATTATGAAATTAGTTTAAAGCCAGTAATAAATCTGAAAGAACCCCAAAGTAGGCCGAGCTGGCCAAGAAGTCTAGGCCGAGGGTGGCATTGGGACGAGCAGAATCTCAGGGAGCCACTGTGGTGCAATGGGGGCTGGGGTGGGCAGAGGGCCTGAATCCCGGGGTGGGGGTTTCAGGCTGGGTTTGACCCACTCTGAGACCGGTTCTGATGTGGGGCTTGAGCAGGAGGAGGAAGGTGTGAAGTCCAGGTGACAGAGGGTGAGCAGGCGGGAGGAGGGGATGGGCTGAGAGGCGCGCAGGGGGCTTGACCCCAGGCCCCACACTGTGGGGAGGATGACATGGCAGAGAGGAGGGGCTGGGTGAGCCCCAGGCTGGACGAGGCAGTAACTCACCGCCCGCTCTGCCCAGCTCAGCTGCCTGGCCAACCTAGCCGCCCGGCACGGCCTCCAGGGGGACTTCTCGCTGCACCCCGCCGACCTGCTGCTCTTCTACAAGTGAGGGGCCCCTCCCCGCCCAACGTCTGGCCGGCGCGGGCTGAGCATGTCTCCTCTGGAATCCCGGGGACCCCAGCTCCCCAGGGGCATGTCGGGTCACCCCGCAGGATCCCCGGCTGGCCCCCACCCTCCCGACAGCACCCCACCTGCCCGCAGCCTGACGCAGGTGAGGGAAGCCAACTGCCGGGCCTTCATCCGCCGCGCTGCCCAGGGTCACACAGAGCTGCTGGCCAACCTGCCCGACCAGAGGGCCGCCTTGGGGCACGCAGCCTTGGCCTGCCTGGTAGGCACTGCGGGCCGGCTGGGACAGGACAGGTGGACAGGCAGTGAGGCCAGGCTGGTGCTGACCTGCTGTCCCACAGGGAGGGCACCGCCCTCAGCTCAGCGCCTCTGACCTGCTGCTCCTTGGGATCCTGGTGTGCGACATGGACACGTCCAGCATCATGGCCTTGGACCCTCGTGTGCTGCAGAACCTGCGGCGCTGCGCCCGGCTGACCGCTGCCCAGCAAGCCGCCCTCAACACACTGCTGGCCAGTGGGAGGACCACGCTTGGGTGGGTGGGGGCCCCGTCCCCTCTGCCCAGGCCTCTCTTCCTCGAGATGAGACAGGAAACAGCCTGGGGTTCTGGCCCAGGAGATCATTGATGTCCACAGCCCTGCTGACCTTTGACCTCTGACCCCAGCTCACAGCCCCACTCTGACCCTGCCGCCTCTGGGGCACAGATTTGGGGGTGCTGCCCCACTGACTGGGTCCTGCAATCCCCCTGCCCCAACACCTGCACTGGGTGGGTCTCTGCTAGGCAGGCGAGTGTCCGCAGCAGGGCGGGCCATGGGAACCATGTGCTCAGGAGGGGCAGGCAGCCTCAGGGCACTGGGGCACTGCTCCCGACCCCAACACACTGTTCCTTTCCCGCACACCAGGCCCCCTGGCTCCTGGAACCTGGAAGGGCTGCAGGCTCTGGGACCCCTGGCCACTTACGTCAGCCCCGGCCTGTGGGTGCAGGTGCAGGAGGTAGGACAGTGCCCCGGGTCGGGGGGGGCAGTGGAGCTGGCTGTGGACATGGAGAGAAGTGTCCGGCTAACCCTCCACCAGCCCGTCCATGCCTGAGGGTCGGCCATCTGGCCACTCCAATGCTCGAGAGGTGTCCCCAGTCACTCCCTGACAGAGTTTCTGTCTGTGGGGTGGGAGGAGGGACCAGGTGTCCCCTGGTGGCCCCTTTCCGGGGTTGGAACGTCCATGTCCTCCTTGCCAGGCCGTGGGCCTGGGCTTCTTCAGCAGCATGGTGGCTGCGTGCCGGGCAGGGCAGCTCAGCCAGCGTGATGCCAGGCGCTTCGTCACCCGCTTCCTTGAGGCCGAGGCCAAGTCGGTGTCCTCGAGGCCCAAGCGGGGAACAGGTCAGTCTGGCTACCGTTGGGGATGCTGTGTCTCCTTCTGCTCTGGGCTCCTCAACCCAGAGTGAGGGCACCCAGCCACAGCCCCACCTGCTGCTGGACCTCCCGAGCGTGGCCCAGGAGTCTGTGTCCAGCCTGGGGGGGTCTGAGTCCAGTGGGACTGGACTTCAGGGCCAGGGCCGGGTTGGGAGTTGAGGTCAAGGTCAGGGTTGATTCAGTCTGGTCTGGGCTGGTTCTTAGCTAGGGGTCAAGCTTGGGGAGACAGTCAAGGCGGGTCCAGGTCAGGAGTGAAGTGGGGCCCGAAGTCAGCTTCGGTGGTCAGCTCGGGCTGTGGCTGACCAGTCGGGCCATCAGCACCGCCACCCCACCCCGGGCCACAGGGAGACACTGCATCCACGGTGACATCACGGCGGCCACGCTGCAGGACGACCTCTTCCTGGTGCGCTATGACTGCTCGCAGCTCGAGTCCTGCCTGGGCAGCCACGTGCTCAGGGCCAACCTGGACCCCCTGCTGCAGCATCCGCTGCCCGCCGAGTGCCAGCGCGTGGTCAAGGCCAAGCTGGCCAGGGTGCGCTGAGGACCTGGCCGCAGGAGGGGGCGGGTGGGTGGGCACCGGCAGTGTGGCCTGACCCCCCTCCTGCCTCAGATCTACCCAGGCGGTGTCCCCGAGGAGCAGCTCCGGCGCATCACCTCGCTGGTCTACCTCTACTCTCGCGCGGAGATCAGCCAGTGGAACATCACGTCCAGAGAGACGGTTGTGGCCCTGCTAGCCTCGGACGTGGCCCTGGAGAACCAGACTGAGGTGAGGGCAGCGGGGGCGGGGGGGCCCACTGACCTTGGCCCTGCTGACCCCAGGCCCGCCCCCAGGCTGTCCTGCAGAAGTTCCTGGACCACAACGGCACTGTCAACAGCGCCCTGCTGGTGGCCATCGGGGGCTCCCGTCTCTGCTGGATGAGCCCCCCACAGATCCAGGCCATCCGGCCCTCGGAGTTCCGGTGAGCCCGCCCAGCGACTCGCCCACCCATGCTGTGGAGTCCCCTTCACTCCTCAGCCAGGAGGGTGGGGGAAACTGAGGCTCAGGAGGGGGTCCCAGCCAGATCACCGAGGGTGTGTGGATTTCCCATGGCTGCCGTCACAAAGGACCACAAACCGAGTGGTTTAACACCACAGCAATGTATTCTGTCAGTCTGGAAGCCGGAAGTCTGAAATTAGGGTGTTGCAGGGCTGGGCTCCCTCTGAAACCCGCAGGGCAGGCTCCTTCCTGCCTCCTCCAGCCTCTGCTGGTGCTGGCACCCCTTGGATTGTGGCTGTATCACCCCAGTCTTTGCTTCCATCATCACACAGCTGTCTCGGCTGTGTCTGTGTCCAAATTTCCTTCTTCTGTGACACCAGTCGTTAGATCTAGGACCCACCCTAACTCAGTGTGACCTCATCTTAATCGAATACATCCAAAAGTAGGAAAGACCCTATTTCCAAGTCAGGTCCCATTCAGAGGTTTGGGGTGGGCATGAATTTTGGGAGACACTATTCAGCCCAGCACAGGGGGCAAGAGGGAAGCTGTGGTTTGGGGAGAGCCAGTCCCAGCCGACTGGGGGACGAAGGGCTGCCAGCCTGCCCGTCAGCCTCGCCCCATCCCCAGGCTGGCCGGGGCCCTGGACATCTCCTCCTGCCCTCAGAGCCGGAAGGATGTGCTCTACGCCAAGGCCCGTGAGGCCTTTGGCAGCACGAGGACCACGGCTGCCTACTACCACCTCATGCGCCCTTACCTCGGTGAGCCCCTGCCCTGTGTATGGGCACCCCTCTTCTGGAGCCCCCGCCCCCCTCACCACTGCCCGGCCCCCAGGCGGTGCCCCCGTGGAGGAGCTGCAGCACCTGGCCCAGGAAAACGTCTCCATGGACATCGACACTTTCACCAACCTGAACCCCCGCGTGCTGCAGGTGGGCCCCGGGGGCGGCCCCATCAGGCAGCGGGGCCGGCTGGCCAAGCCAGGGGAGCCCTAGGTCACGGGTCCACAGGCCCTAAGCACCCCAAAGTCAGAGGTGTGCAGACAGTGTGGATCCCGGCTCACTTCTCCTAGGTTAGTCACTGCCCTGCAGAGTCTTCCCTCGGCCCCAGAGCCCGCCCCTGTGGGCCCCTCCGTCCCTCTCCCCACGGCCCCCTCACTTCTCTCGCAGAGCCTGAGTGTTGGCAATGTGACGACACTGTTGGGCCAGAATGTGGGGGACCTGCAGAAGGCACGCAGCCACCCCACCATCAGCTCCTGGCTCCGCAGCCTCAACAGGTCAGCCCTCAGTGAGCTGGGCCTGGACCCGGACCCCGTCGGCCCCACCGGCCCAGCCCACCCGACCACTGGGTCCCCTAACACCACCCCCTGGACACCCCATCTAGCCCCTACTTCAGGCCAGCCCGGGAATGATGCCCCCACCTCAGGTACGGCCCTGCACCCCGCCCTCCCCCTCGCAGGCCATCCCCCGCCTCTGCTCTGTCTGCCCCGGGCCTCTGTGGACCCCGGACTGTGACTAATTCCTTGCCTTTGCCCAATCTCGTGCTCTGTGGGCCAACTCTTTTTCCATTTGCCTCCTCGGGTAACAGCTAGGTGACACTGGCTTCACCCTTCATCGCCCGCTGCGGTATTGAAGGACACAGTCACCTCCTCCAAAACCAGCTGAGCAGCAGAGAGTGGGGGGTGGGGGGTGGGGGAAGTTTTGAGATCCCTGTTGGGGTCCAGAAGAGTAGATATAATGGGGGTCCTCACTGGCCTTGCCCACTGCAGGGACGGGGTGAGCCTTGAGCCCAGAGGGAGGGGCTGCCCAGGCCTGGGAGGCTGCCGGGACAGCCCTAGGGGGGCTCCTAGCTGGGACTGACGGGTGCTCCCTCCATGTTCCCCCTACAGGCAGCCCACCAGCCCATGTGGGGTATGTGCCACTTGCTGTGGCCCTGCCCTCCAGCCTCCTGTGGCTGCTGTATCGGGGCACCTGCACCATGGCCTCCAAAGATGGCACTGCGCTGGCACCACACGCAGGAAAATTGGGGCTGGTAGGCAGAGCTGGACGCCTGCCCCATGTCCCACATCCTGGGGGCCTGCAAGGCTGGTCCCCACCCACACCCAGCTCCCAGGACCTGGAGCTGGACTGAGGACCTGGGCCCAGCGGGAGCTGCAACCCACCCGGTCACCAGCCCCGGCCCTCTGGCCTCCTTCAGAAGGAGAACTGGGTCTGGGGAGGGGCTTCCGTGGCCCTGACCTTGCTGACTGATTTGAATAAAGAACAAGGCCGTCTTCCTGTTTGTGTCCCTTTGCGGTGGGCCCAAGGAGGGGCACAGAGACCCCCTTAGCCAGGAACAGGACTCCCACCTGCCATCTCTTGGAGCGTCAGTGTCATCAGAAGCCACCTGGAGTGTTGTTTGGCCTCGGGGGGAGGCCCAGGCAATGGAAACAGCATTGGGAAGGTGCCGAGGGCCCCCCCGCCTGGGCCCCCCTGTCCAAGTACAAATAGGAGGGGCTGCAACTCAGGCGCCCCGCCTTCCAGGTCACAGCCGTCAGGGCCCTCCCAGCCGTCCTCTGAACACCACAGGGCACCTCTGCAGAGGGGGAACGCATCCTCTTTTATTGGGCTCCAGTCCCCTCAGACAGGGACCACCCAGGCCTGCTCCCAGCCAGGTGGGGTCTCCACAGCAGGCGCGAGTCCCGGGGCGTCTGGAGCCGTGGGCTCAGTTCAGGGTCACAGCCAGAAACAGAGTTGTGATCACGGTGAGCACAGGTCCAGGTCTGAGGAGGTGGGCGCCCCCCGAGAGGGCCTCTGCACAGAGGGGGTGACTCAGACCCTCCACCTTGCTCTGCCCCGAACCCACCCAGCCAGCCGCCCCAGCCTACCTCGGAAGTTGAGGTCCAGGACCAGGTAGCCATTGGGGATGCCGCCGTGGAGCCCCAGACCCAGACTGTCCAGGTCATCCTGCGGCTGCCGGAAGATCCAGTCCCGAATGGGGCTGTTCCCCTCCTCAGCCTTCAGGCCCGCCAGGTTGGGACCCAGAAGTTTTTGCACCTCGGCAATGGTCAGCGGCTGTCAGGGCCCCCAGGACGGCTGTCAGGGTCTCCCTGCTCTCCCCCAGGAGGCTGCTGGGCTCCGCTGTGTCCAAACCACCCCGTGCTTCCCCCACGCACAGACGTGGCCTGGCCCCTCCAGACTTTGGAGCTGGTGGAGGCTCAATGGGGGGCCCCTCCCAAGACCCCGCCCTTCTCCCAGGGCCCCACCCCTCCCTGTGGCCCCTCCCCACGGTCCCGCCCCTCCCGCGGCCGCACCAGCAGGGCCTCTGTCTGCAGCTTCTTGAAGGTGGCCGTGTCCATGTGTATGTTCTGCCGACTGAGAGCCCTCATGTCCTCCGTGGGGGCCCCACCTGCCCTCGGGGAGAACACCCCTCAGTCTCACCCTCAGACCACAGGCTACAAGAAGCCCACTTCCTTTTCCGATTCCCTCTTCCTAAGGAATTCCTGGGCCCTAGGTGTGTCTGGTGACCACCTGACCCTCTGTGTCGGGGGAGAGGCTGGAGACGACTGAGTGCCTGAGCAGAGTCAGAAGTCATAGGGTCTCAGCCTCTGCACACTGGAGGGGCGAAGGTCATGTTGGCCACCCATCACACCACCAGCAGGCAGCCCAGTGAGGTGAGAGCCTGGCAGCACCGACGGAGGGGCCTCAGGCATCACACCCCCGTGTCCTCCCTGGCTCACCTAGGTAGGGCTTGATCCTCGCAAAGTATTCGGACCTGCTTGTGTTCTGGAAGGCGATGCGGGCCTTGGAATAGAGGACGTCCATCTGTAGTGGGCAGCACGCGTCCAGGTCCTGGGGCCTGGCCGCCCTGGAGAGGCAGTGTGGGGCTGGGCAGTGAGCTCAGAGCAGAGCGTGCCCGCCACACCCACAGACCCCCGGACTCACCAAACAACGTTGTGCTGCATGGAGCCCAGCTGCTCAGGACTGAGGAAGCACAGGTAGGTGGGACGGAAGGTAGCCAGGGTGTCGAGGGTGGCCTTGTCCATCTGGCCCCCTCCCACCTGGTAGCGGGCAATCAAGGCGGCCACCTGTGGGAGGGGCCCCTGAGGTGCCTTAGGGCAGGGAGAGACATACCCCTCCAGGCCTGCACAACCTCACACCCTGTGCACTCCCCTGGCAGGTGGTCACCTGAGCATCCATTTTGCGCCCTTTGCTGATTTTAAGCAGATATTTCACGACCTCAAGGGATGTCACACTCCACTTGTAGATGTCTTCAGGGGTGACCGCATAGAAGAAGTACCTTAGGCGCCAGACCAGGGACTCGGGGTACCCCTGCGGATAGACCTACCGAGGGAGTGGCCGTGAGGGCGGCTGGGGAAGGCTGCAGCACAGGGGCAGGTGGGGCACGAGGGATGAACTACCTCGTTCAATTTGCACCTAAAAATTTCGAGCTGCTGGTGGGTGAAGGGAATCACATTCACCCGGTTCATCTGAGCGTCTAACAGGGCCCCATCCACACAGGCCTCCAGTTCCCACTCCTCGTAGAAGACAAGGTTTTCTTCCACCACTGTGACATTCCGCCCCGGGGGGCAAGTCTTCTGGCGCAGGGTGCAAGCCTTCTCTGCAGCGACAAGCAGGGGGTCGGTGAAGGTGGGCTTCTCCCGTCAGCCTCCGCTTCCTCCCACACCCTCAGTGAGACCCTGGGCAACACATGACCCTCTCCAGGCCTCAGTTTACCCACTGGCAAAATGGGGCAACTCTGTCCACTTTTCAAAGTTGTGACCATTGAATGAGCTGAGCAGCCAGGAAGGGCCACAGGTGGGGGCAGGTGAGACCCCACAATGGAGCCCCCACCCCCAGATCTCCTGACGCCTGACGGGACTGGGCGCCATGCTCACTCTCTGTGCTCCGCCGCGCCCTTGGGAGGATGGCAGTCAGCTCAGGCCGCTGCCAGGACAGGTCCCAGGAGGGGCGTTGCAGCCACGGGGTCATGATGCCCTGACGACAGAGCAGGGCTGTGGCTGAGCCGCATGCGGCTGGGCATCTAAGGACTCTCACCCAGGAAAAACCCTTCCGTTACCCCAGAGGCACCTTACCAGTCCTGAGTCTGCAGCCTGGGCCCCGGGAGGTAGCACCCACCCTGCAGCAGAGGGGGCACAAGGCTCGAGGGATGGCCAAGGGCTTCTGGGTGTGCCTGCTGCAGGGCCCCACCCTGGAGGGGAAGGAGCAAAGCTGGCCCCTCCCTGGCCCCTGGTCTTACACAAACCCCACAGATGTGGCAACAGAGGATTACGGACCCTGCACCCCATGATGTCACAGCCCACCACACCATGCCCCAGGCCAGAAGCCTGCACCCCACCAGGGAGCCCAGGTCTCCCACATCCTCCTGCGACCTCACTGCTCAGGGCAGCCAGACATCCATCCCACCCACACCCTCACTTTGGCCTGAGCCCGCATCACTGCCCTGGCTCAGCCTCCAATCCTGGGGGCACAGTGGTCCAGCAAGGGTGCCAGAAACAGTCACCTCTGGGGGCAGAGTCATGGCTGACAGCCTGCACGGGACTCGAGACACCTGCCCCAGACTCGAGTCACCTGCCTAGGACTCAGGGCACCTGCCCAGGTGGGGGTCCCTGCCCCCAGCCAGGGGAGGAGGCATGGGGCAGCTAGAGCCTTTCCTAAAGTCCTGACCCCCTAAGGACCCTCGGCTGCCCTCTGATGCTCCCTGGCCCTCATACTTTGTGGCAGCCCACCCCCATTACTCACCGAGGCTGAGAAGCAGGAGCAGGAGGCTGCTGTGGGTGGGGGTCCTGCAGGACCCCAGGCAGGGTCGAGCAGTCTGCAAGGCCATGATCTGTGGAGGACAGCCACTCTGATGTCCCCACCACTTGGACAAGATGGAACTCTGTACCCACCCCACCCCCGTTCCCCCTACCCACGCCCCTGCCCTACGCCAGTGCAGAGCCTTGTGGGGCTGCAGGGGTTTCAGGGCCTGAGGGGTCCCAGGTCAAACTTTTTCAGGCCCCTGCGGCGTCTGCGCCGCCTCCAGCCCTGCTCTCAGGACCAGCCAGCCCACCTGGCCCTTCCCGTCCAGGAAGCCGGCCCCTTCTGCTGTCTGAGTCAGCCCGGCCCCCAGCTGTGAGAGCCCAGGCGGGCAGCTGGCAGCTGGCGCCCATCCCCTCTCCCTGCAGGGCAGGGCAGGGTGGGAGAGTCTAGTGCAAGGAGGCAGGGCTGCCTCTGGCTCAGGCTGGCCTCAGTTTCCCTATTTGCACCGGGGGACTGAGCAGTTCAGGGCTGGGTGTTGTGCAGAGTGGCCCCCCAACCTGGGGCATGGCCATCCTCCCCTCTCCACCCTGCTGCATCCTTGGCCACGGCTCTGGGCTTTGTGCAAACCCAGGGCCCTGCCAGGTGGACTAGGCCAGTGGGGCCCACCTGCCCTCCTGCTTCCCCTTCTGAGGCCCCTCCTGAAACAGAGGCCTGGGAGGGTGCCCAAAGGCAACGCCCCTTCCCACCTACCAGCCCCTTGGGTGGGGCGGTGGGGTGGTGAATGGGCATTCTGGGGAGATCCCAGGGCACATTCTGAAGTGGGGTTTGGGGCTTTGTGGGCCAGTGTAGGGTGGGGAGGTGGGTGGGGAGCCACTCCCAGAGGCGGCCTGCCCTGGGGTAGGGTGGGGCCTGCCTGAGATCAAACCACCTTCCACACTCGCCCCTCCCAGGGAGGCCCACGGCGGGAGTCCACCTGTGGGCCACCTGTGGGCGGGTGGAGCAGAGCCATCCCCTCCCCACTAGTCCTCACTCCTGGCCTGTGGGCCCCACCCTGCTCAGAAATGGAGGTGCACTTCATGCTTCAGCAATCTCTCACCTGGGCAAGGAGCCCAGCCACAGGGAGTGTCCTGGGGAGAGCTGAAGCCCCAGGGGGCCCCCTCCCTCCGCTGCCAGGCCCAGACCAGAAAATGGGCAATGGAGTGGGGCCCCCGCCCCTGGGGTAGATGAGGCAAGGCAAGAACCTCCTCCCACCCCAGCCCCATAGAACCAGGGACCCCAGCTCCCCAGGCAGGGGCTGCCGTGGGCCCTGGAATCTGCATGTCACCCCCCAGGAAGGCCACTTAGGGGCCACAGAGGCACTGAGGGCTGTGCTCAAGTGGCCCAGGTGCG